AGCATGCATGTGAGAATTTGTTCACTCCCCGGCCCCCCCTTCTCTTTTTTTTTTTTCTGATGGAGCCTAAACCATGATGGTATGGTTTCTATTATTCAGACAGAAAAGCAAAGGATTCCTTGGAGATTATATGGCTACCTGAAAAGAAACAGTACTTCTTGGCCAAAGTGTACCAATGTCTGGTGCTAAGGGAGTTTCTGGGACTTCATGACATTCTCTCTGTGACAGGGTGAAATTAAGTTATTTAGCTAACTCAGAATATTTGGATACATTATTAGCTTCATTTAGCATTGTTCTGGCTAAGTATTGAACTTGAAGATACAGGCTATCATTTAAGTTTCTGTTTTCTTTGATGCTAGCTTTGGAATATAGTCAAGTGTTAGTGGAAATAGAGGCATCAGTTAAATTTCAAATAAAAAAAGTATTGGGGGAATTGGGTGTGGTACTGCACATCTGTAATCACAGCCAATCAGCTGAGGAAGGAAGGCTCAGAGTTGGGGCCAGCACGGGCTACATATTGAGACGCTGTATCAAAAACAAACAAACAAACAAAAAACAAAAAAACCAATTAGAGAAAGTAATTGGAGGCTGAGATGTAGGTTCCTGATAGAGCACGTGTCTATGCAGTGCCCTGGGTTTCTCTCACTAAAATAAACAAATAAACAGAATCAAAGTATTTTGCTGTTGGGAATGAGTGGGTAGGAAGATGTTTAGCAAAGCTGTCTCTAATCTGGAGTGGGAGTGGGTAGAAGATAGGTGGTTAGAGTTCTAGTTCAGTTTAAAAATGTGGGGGGATAGCCGGGTGGTGGTGGCGGCTGAGGCTGCGGCTGTGGCGCCACCACACACCTTTAATCCCAGCACTCGGGAGGCAGAGCCAGGTGGATCTCTGTGAGTTCGAGGTCAGCCTGGTCTACAGAGCGAGATCCAGGACAGGCACCAAAACTACATGGAGAAAGCCTGTCTCGAAAAAACAAGCAAACAAACAAAAATGCAGGGGTATTTACAAAATACCTTTTTTAGTTGTGGGAAGCTTAAATATGCTTCTTTCTCTAAAGTTGGTTTCTATTTCCAAGTGGTTTTGTACCAGTTAGTGTTACTAGTTAACGTTATACCAGTTAATAATCCAGGATAAATGGGCACGAGGAAAGGGAAAGGTTTCAAAGCAACAAGACCCAAATGCAGACAAGAGGTTGCACAGTTGCTCTTTATGCCAGGATGATGAGAGGCTTTGCCGTGTGCGCCAGGACCACAGTATGTTCCTGTAATTTACAGCACCATTGCTCTTGGAATGTTTTGTTATCTGGATAACAGCTAAGAAAGTTTCAACAGGGTAGACCTTCCGAGTGTTAGCTTCCGAATACGGAACAAGCAGTGTATTATGGAAATGGTTCCACACTGCAGTCACGGCGGCGGCCTCCCAGGCCTGTGCTCGTTCAGTCTGCAGTCTCTTGATTCTGTGCTGAACAGGAACATGAGTTCTAGAACATGCTTCCTAAAGTACCTACTTGTGATTTTCAGCGTATGACATGTAACCCTCATCACATTATATCAAAATTTGAATGTAAAACCATAGAACTCGGGGCTAAACACTTCAAGTGACTATCAATCGCCTTGTTGTTAGTAGTTGATTGATTTAAAATACCTCTGTAAATAGCAACATAGTGTTCATAAAGTTTTAATCCACATGTCTGGTGTTGACTTACATCTCTTCAGTACTTTTTTTTTTCCTAATGGAGTATGACACGTTAGTAAGTCAAAAACCATTTATTGGTCAGCTTAACTTGTTTGCATTTAATTCTGACTGTAACATCTGTAGAATTTTTGTTGATGCTGTTCTTTGGAGACAAGATCCTGCTGTCTTGCTTGGGGGTGGCCTGTTAACTCAATGTACCCCAGGCTGGCTTCACACTCTTGGTAGCCCTCCTGCCTCAACCTCCCATATTCGAGTTTTAAACAGTTTTGGTGATATGTTCTACAAGGAACACCCCCACCCTCTACCCCCAGCCGCCCCAGAGTTTCACTGTGTAGCCCTGGCTGTCCTGGAACTCACTATGAAGACCAGGCTGGCCTTGAACTCACAGAGATCCACCTGCCTCTGCCTCCTGAGTGCTGGGATTAAAGGTGTGCGCCACCACCACCTAGCATAGATCTCAAGTAACAGTAATAAAAAGAAATACATAAGCAGCATTGAAGAAATTATTAAAAAAAATCTAAAACACTAAAGAAACAGTCAAGGAACTTTTTATAAATCGAATAAGGCAACATGCTACATATTTGAAATTTCAATAGCCATTTTGAGATATAGAGGCTGATGCAGCAGAACTGCCATGAATTCAAAGTCAGATTGGGCTATGGAATGAGCTCCAGGCCAGCCTGAGGTGTGCTGTGAGGCTATCTCAAAATAAAATAAAATAAAATAAAATAAAATAAAATAAAATAAAATAAAATAAAATAAAATAAAATAAAATAAAATAAACAAAGGAAAGGTGATGTGCATTCCAACTGGATTAGATATCCATTTTGGACATTTACCCCCAGGATCAGAGAAGCAGTTAGTAGGTCAGCTGTTATTTTAAGTTGGGGATTCTTTGAAAGGTTCTCAGAAGAGATGGTTCTCCGACGGGGTTTTCCTGAGCTGCCTTTTGTGGGAAATGAGGCAGCATTTCTTCCTTTGCCTACAGTGTTTTCAACCCTCAGCTGTGTCTCCTCCACAGCTGCAGATGTGGCGCTGCCGTCATTTACTGAGCTGAGGAGGCTTGGACTGGCTTTGCCGTCATGTCACCATTACAAGCTTTAGAAACTTGCTGTTGAACTCTCTATTGAGAAAGAGCTGGCTGCAAGGCTAAGTTCTTTTAAGTAACAAATACCCGGACTTTGAGGAATTAATTGCCTAGCTCCTGGACAGGACGCTGTTTTAAACTATCTTTAAGCAATCAGCATCCTTTCAAAGAGTGAGAAATGTAATCCATCTTCTTCCAAGGATCACAAACTAGGCATGGGCGTTAGACCACCTTTCAGTTCAATCACCCTTGCTTGGATTCTGGAAAATGTTGCTATATAAAACTTGAAAGCTTAATGTGTAGATTGAAGTGTGTGATAACGGCCAAACTGACCTTTAGCTATATATAGTGTGGTGAAGAGAACATTAGAATCGTAATCACGTGTTTTTTTACTTTGGTCCCAGCTTGTGACCTCGGTGTCTTTTACGTTAAAAAGGAAAGTCTGAACTATGTAAAGACCCCTTTACTAAGGGTCTGTGTGTTGCCAGATCACTAGACTTATCTGTGATCCAATAGCCAGACCAGCATAAAGGTCATTAAAAGGGCATTATTTTGTTTTTGGCTGTGATGGGCCTCTGTACACTGGGCAAGAACTGATTTATAGCCCCCAGCCAAGGCCATTATTTAATGTTATTGTCTCTTAACGGCTTCCCAGCAGTATGTTCTTGTAGATACAGAATTTCATATTATCGGGCCATAAGAACTCTTGAAGTCCATTTCACTCCACTCCTTCCTTTACTAAAGGAAATAACTGAAGCGTGAGAGGTTGTCTTTGTATTCCCGTAACATGGCAGCACTCTCTTACGCTGAAGGATTGAAACGCATTTCCCATTTTTAGTACAGTTAAAATGCCTTAAAGCTCGCAGCTCTAACACAGAACCGAGTAATTGCTGGGCTTAAGGGTGCACCTAGAGGAAAATAACAACCCAGAAATTTAGTTTCAAGGAACTTTCAAGGTCCTGGCCAACTGACAAATAGGAAAGGAACCCAAAGGGCAAGGGCTAAAAAGATTGCTCTTATCAAGGAGAGCCCCTAGGGTAGGCTAGGGACTTCTTACTTAATTGAAAAAACAGAGCTGACAACAGTGTGAAGTTCTTTGGTTGACAGCAGGAAACTTGTCATTTTAGTATCGTCTCCCTCAGCCTTCCCCACCAGTACAGGACTTCTGAGGTTGAGTGTGCATTCAGTGCAGCGAGGTTGCTCTTGCCCGTGCAGCTGGCTAGGGACGCCTCCAGAGCTGAAGCGACAGCCTGTGGATCCCCTTTCCTCGGGCTCTAGTCCGGGCTAGGGAGTGAGTGGCGCTTTTTCTCTCATGTGAATGTATATATATTCTTTGGTTAGTACATTGTTCACGTGGCTGAATGCATTCCTCCAGGCATTCAGGATGAGCGCTTGAGCTTAGACATTTATTTCAGCATATTGCCGTCCTGGGCTGCGTGTCCTCTCTTGTTTCTGCGCTTTCTCCACGCCCTTCCCAGCTTCCTGTTAGCCAAAGGGAATCGCTCTTTCTGAACGAAAAGTTCCCAGAGCGGAGCTGAACCTCCCGGAAAATGCTCTTCTCTTCCGTGTGCGCCGGATGGGGGTGGGCCCAAAACTAAACATCACCGTAGAGGAGGCCGAAAGGACCCGAACTCCCTGGCAGAGGCGGGAGAGGTAAGGTCCTCGGAGTGGTGCTGAGGGTCCCCGGAGATCCAGTCCATATCCCAGGCAGAGGAAACTTTTACTTAGCTGGGACAGTGCCACGAGGCCCGAGTGTGTGGAGTTTCGGGGTCCAGGAGTGCACCCCAGGGCGTAGGAGAAGCTCCATGTTCCTTTTTTTCCGCAGGAGCCTTCCCCTCAGTCCTGCTGTCTAGAACCAGGGGAAGAGCATCGCCCCTGCCCGACCTGCTGGTGCGCTCCTGCCCAATTCTGCCCTCTATTCCTTCTAGGCCCCCAGACCCTAGAAGGAGTAAGAGGAAGGTTGTCCGAGCCTTATTGAGACCTCCATCCGGTGCTGGTCGTATCCTGGGTCAGCAATCCTAGAACATCCCAAGTCTGGGTGCGCAGGCGTGAAGCGCGCAGAGGAACCGGCGGTCCCCACAGGGGCGCCGTGCGGTCACCGGTCCCCTGAGCCGTGCGGCCAGGACCGCGGAAGATGGCGCCAGCTAGGCGCGGGGCTTGGACGCTCGGGCAGAGCCCAGCAGCTGACCACAGCCCCTCGGGGCACTGTTGTATCCCCTGCAGGAACCAGAGAGGATGGCTGGGGCGGGCAGCCAGCACCACCCTCCGGGAGTCGCGGCAGGAGCGGCCGCTGGAGCCGGCGCGGTTTCCCCCACCGCTGCGGGACCGGGAGAGGATTCGTCCGACAGTGAAGCGGAGCAGGAGGGACCCCAGAAGCTGATCCGCAAAGTGTCCACCTCTGGGCAGATCCGGACCAAGGTAAGGCTAGGTTGGGGGCCTGCAGGAGAGCTGTGGGTGGAGGGAACACGCAGGGAGATCCCGGGAACCGGGATCCGGAGGAGGGGCGCGGGGGCGCGGCCTGTTTGGGGCGGGGCTTCGCTCAAGGGCGGGACCTGGCGCCCGGGATTCCTGCCTAGGGTTTGGAGACTTCCAGGGTGTGTTCCAGAATGCTGGGCTAGCAGTCTGAGCCAGTGGCTTGGCGGGAGCATGGGAGAAAGTTGAAGCCCCGCTGCGACTTCCCACTTAGGAAACTTAAAGCGAGTTTGATTTTCCACCCTCCGAGCTGCTTGCATTGGAAGACTCGCGGAACCTGTATTGCGCCTGCCACCTTGCATTCCTACACACGGCAGGCTGCTTGCTCCTTTCTGGGCGCCACTTAAGAAGATGGATAGGAGATGACTCCAGTCAGTTTCTCTGGTGTGCTGTGCATGCAGGTTGGCTAGGCTTCTGTGTGGCAGGTTCCCACACAGTGCAGAACTCAGATTGCCCATTCATGGTGGTTCATCGCAAGTTCTCTCTTCTGGTTATGTGTGTGGTGCTTTTGTGGAGTTGTGTTGACCATCTCAAAGTTGAACTTTTATTTGACGATGAACATGCATAAGGCAGGGGCTACTGAGTATTAACGGATTTGTGTATTCTAAATTTTATCTTAGTTTCAAAGTCTTCACGCCTAGGCTGTTGTCTATGGGGGACTTAGCAGAGGAATTTGAGTAGGGAGCCGATGAAATCATTGGATGCTCCCTTTAGTAATATATTTGTAAAAGTTAATTCTTTCTGCAGTTATTTTCATGAAAATTGGCTTCCCAAGGCTTATGGGAGTCTTACATGGAAGCAGTTTTACTGTTTGCCTGTGGATTAGTGTTTGTTTTAATGTCAGCTGATTTCTAAAATTAAGGATGTGCAGTGGCTGTAAAGATACAGTTACTAAAGAGTCAAGGGTTGCGTCCGCCCCGTTTGTTTTTTCGGTTTGTTCACACATCTTGGAACTGCTTTTAATAGAGATAGTTTTTGAGTTTTACAGCATTTGCTATAGTTTAGAATTTAGAGTATTTTTCAAAGATTAAAGCTGACCAATATAGAGACTTTACTAACAACGATTTTAACATTTGAAATCTTAATTTTAAAAAAAGACCCATGTAACTGGGTTAATGAGAAAAATGGCAGGTTTAAAAATGGCACATCATATACTTTTCTGAAATGGTCCAGATTTCATGCATTTTGATATCAAGCTTGACTAGTAAGGTTTATGCCATTGGAAAGAAAATTTAGGGATGGTTATAAGTTGAGCTGAGTAAGTAAAGTTGAACAACTTGTTGGGAAGTACTACTAAAATTTGTAGGTTTAATGAACTTGAAATCATAGCTAAGAGTGTATGGTTTAATTTTGGGGTAAAGAATTTTTAGGAAGAATAAAATAAATGTAAAAAGCATATTAATTTTTTGTTTTCTGTTTGACTTTTTGATAAATATCTGCCATAATTATCGCTAATTATCAAGCTTTGGAATACTGCCTCTGATATTCATTCATAATAGAATATCAGAAAAATCTGCATTTTATACTTGCTCATACGTTAATATTCATATAAAACATTTTCGGATGCCGACATCTGAGGCCAGAGCGTTAAGTTCACAACACTAGTGGGTCTCTGCCTCACACCCCACACCTGCAAACCAGACCGGACCGTGCGCTGTAAACCTCTTTACTGTGGCTCTTATTATCACTTACACTGCTTCTGAGGGAGGATTTGAGGTCAGTGGGGGACTTAGTACAAGTAGAATTGACTAAAGGGAACCATGGGTATTACCCAGCCAGGAAGACAGGCAGCCTTAGAAAAATGTAGATATTTCCTCATCTTCTCCACAGGGGTGTGAGATGGGAGAGGCTGGAGGAGAGGTTCGGGCCCCAGATCTAGCTCAAAGCTTAGCTGTTCTTGAGACAGTACTCACAGTTCTTGCTCGTATGTCTTGAATGTGCATAAAAAACACTAAGTATGATGGGTAAGGGTGACTAATAGTGCCTTTAGTTCTCACCCTTATACACATAGCCATGCTTACATGGGGATGTGTCAGTATGCTCCTGGTTGAGTGTTTATGTGTAGGTAGACATGGCCTAAAGTGGATTGAGTTTGTTGTTCATAGAAGATGAAGATATTTCAGGGCTGGGAGGCGGCTCAGTCTGTGAAGTGCTTGTTGTAGAAGCAGAGGACCTGAGTGGGATCCCCACTACCCTGGTGTCTTTGTTACCGCTCTGCTGCTCTGATAAAATACTGTGACCAAGACAGCTTACAGAAGCTCGCTCTTTTGGGCTTTTAGTTCCAGAGGTGTAAGAGATGATCGTGGTGGGGAGGCAAGGCAGCCAGGGACAGGTATGACAGCAGAAACAGGAGTCAGTTACACGTTGAAGTGAAAGCATGAAGCGGAGAGAGCGAAGTGGAAGTGATGTGAAGCTTTAAACCAAACCCTGCCCCCAGTGACGTACTTCCTCCAGAAAGGCCAAACCTCCGAAACCTCTTCAAACAAAACCTTGGACTGGACCGAGTGTTTAAGTTCGGCAGACTGGGGGATGTTCTCATGTAGACCTCTACACCATGTTTGAAAAAGCCAGGTGCTGGAGAGGCACAGACAGCAGCAGGATCTTTGGGGTTTACTGGCCGAGCCAGTCAAGGCCAACCAAGTTCCAGGTTCGGGGAGCAGCCCGGTCTCAAAAATTAAGGAGCAAAGTGATTAAAGAAGACATCTGACCTTGACCTCCTCACATGTGCGTACATGCACACAAATGTCTTTCCATGTATGACTGCATAGTTATTAAATACTTGTACTCTGAATATTGTCACTGAGACACAGCTAACACGAACCTCTGTTCTCGTTAAGATCCTCAGGGACATGAGGCTGTTTGGCAGGCAGTTGAGGGTGAGGAACAGCAGTTTGGGCTGGGGAAATAGCTCACTGGTAGAGTGCCTACAGCATGCTTAAAGCTCTGGGTTCAATTCCCAGCACTGCATAGAAACAGGGTGTGTTAGCACACACCAGTAATTCTAGCACTCCAGAGGTAGAGGCAGGGAGATCAGGAGTTCAAGGTCATCCTCATTTACATAGGGAGTTCCAGGCTGGCCCGGACTACCTGAGACCCTGTCTCAAAAATCTAACAAACAAAAAAGGCTGAAGTTTAAGTAATTAGCCTTATTTGAAGTGTCCTTATTCTAAATACTTTTTAATATTTTAAATGATTTGCTTATTAAAATGGACATTAAGTTACTTGAGACATTTGAAAAGTATCTAGACATTCCTTAATTCAAAGAGTCATACAAGCTGGCAATGGGTGTGCTAATTACAGTACTTAGGAGGCTGAGGCAAGAGAGAGGTAAATTTGACTGTAGCTTGGCCTACATTGTAAGACCCCGTCTCCAAACTACAACAATACATGCATCTAGTCAGACATACTAACAGTGCAAGAGACTGTACAGTGATGGAAGACGATACAGTGATGGAGACATATTAACAATACAAGAGACTCAACAGTGATGGGAGATGATACAGTGATGGAGACATATTAACAATACAAGAGACTCTACAGTGATTGGAGACTCTACAGTGATGGAGACATATTAACAATACAAGAGACTCAGCAGTGATGGAAGATGATACAGTGATGGAGACATATTAACAATACAAGAGACTCTACAGTGATGGAGACATATTAACAACACAAGAGACTCAACAGTGATGGGAGATTATACAGTGATCGAGACATATTAACAATACAAGAGACTCTACAGTGATGGGAGATGATACAGTGATGGAGACATATTAACAATACAAGAGACTATACAGTGAAGGGGTCATAGTCATGAGAAGTAAATGCCATTTCATCATCTACCTCTGGTTTCTCTCTCAGAGGCAGTCATAGGTGACATTTTCTTGGGATGCTTCCAGAAAATTTCTATACACTTACAAGTGTTGCATATTATATATGTACAACATACATGTAAGGATATATAAGTATATATTCTGTATATAAATATGGTAATGCATGTATACATTTCTTTAACTGTCATGGCATACACCTTTAATCCCAGCACTGGGGAAGTTGAAGCGTGAAGATTGTCTCAAGATCAAGGCTTGTGTAGCATAGTGAGACCCTCTCTCAAAAAGTAAATACATAGCAAATATCACTATTTTAATATACATAGATATCCATACATATAAGTATATTGTATATAAGTGTATATACTGCACATATAAATATATACCTATTTCTAAAGTCTGCTACTGGGATTATTCTACAATGGCCTTCTGCATATTTACTTCATTCTTCTTAGTGATGGTAGGTCGTTCAGTTGAGCTGTATGAAATGCTCTCAGCAGTTCAAAATTGGCAAAGTGTAGGAAGTTTCATTTGGCTGAACCTAGCGTTGGTATGTGATCATTGTGATCATGTAATTAATCAGCTTTTTGTGGAAGGCAAATGGGTGGTTTTGGGACAGCATGTTAATCTAAGTTTTTTTTGTTTTTGTAGCAGATATGCTGACTTTTGGTATAAAGACTCTAGGATGTGTGTGTGTGTGTGTGTGTGTGTGTGTGTGTGTGTGTGTGAGAGAGAGAGAGAGAGAGAGAGAGAGAGAGAGAGAGAGAGAGAGAGAGAGAGAGAGGAGAGAGGGGGGCGGCGCTGAAGATAGAACCCAGAACCTCACATGCTAGCCGTTTGCCCTGCCCCAGCCCAAGAGTAAGAATGTCCTTTAAAGGTGAATGTGGTTTAACAGTGGTCTTCTGTCTTAGCGGCCTCCTCGCCTCCCCCTGTTGGATGTATGTTTTTTGTTCGCTTTTTGTTTCCCATTTTCCTCCTGGGGTTCTTAGTACATCTTTTGTCCTCTTTGTTATTTTCACTTGGATCTTGTCGCCCATCAGCTGAGTAGGACTTCAGATAGTTAGTTTAGGCTCCCATGTGCTAAACAGGTAATTGTGTATCCAACTTAATTTCCCC